TTCTCTTTCACTGTCCCTCTCTCGCTGTTCCTGTCTCTTTCCTTTCCTCCTCTCTCTCCCTGTTACTATCTCTCTCCCTCTCTCCTTTCCCTTTTTGTTTCTCTATCTCTTTCCCTCCCTCCTCTCTCTTTCTCTTCTAGGTTTTGGACCAGTCAGTAAGACCAGTGACCCTGAAGAATTTTGGAAAGTCTTAAACACCATCAGCCCATTGGGTGGTGGAGATGAGCCTGAAATGTGTCTGTCAGCCCTGGAGGTAGCACTCATGAAACACCTTTTATTGCTGCATAATTTTATAGATCAGAAGTTCTCAAACTGTAATCCATGCAAATTCCATTGAAAAAAACCCAGAGAAAGATGAGGAAAAACAAAAAAACAAAATATTGGATCTCTACTTGACTGATGGATTTCTGAGGATGGACTTATGAAGCTATTTTGACCAGGACTGGATTATTAAATGCACAGTAAAAAAGAGAGATCCAACCTAGAAGTAAGGAGAAATGTCTCGATAGTGAGAAAAATTAATCGATGGAAGAGCTTATCTCCTGGAGTTGTGGGTGTTCCATCACTGGAGGTTTTCAAAAATAGACTGGACAGCCATTTGATTGGGATGGTATAAGGCAGGCCAAATGTGTCACGTGCTGGCCACGCCCACTCCCTTTTTAGCAAAGGGGGGGGGAAGTCGCAACTTATCATGTGACAACACGAGTTTGACACCCCTTGTTAGGGTTTGAGGATTAACCCCTAGCAGAGTATTGCAGCAGTAGTCAAGCCAGGCAGTCAAACGAGAGTGGAAGGGCCCCAGAGTATACACACACTGAACACAAACACTGTTTGTAGTTTAAATAGTTTTTAATCCAGTTAGAGTTTAAGCATTGTCATTCAGTCCATTAAGTCATTCACAGTATTTCCATCCAGTAAGACTCACTAGTATAGTCCAAGTTAAGAGTCCTTGCAATATCTTTATCAGCCGATAAAGATATCTTCTCCTCCTCCGGTTTCACTCTCCAGAGAAACAAACGCTGGATATTCAGTAGACTTACGCAGTAAATCAGCAAACAGTAGCAAACAATAACAGTTCAGTCACAGGCACTCACAGTCAGTAATCACAGTTAGTCGCAGCAGCACACAGTAACAGTTACAGCCAGTTAGTCAGCTCACAGTTAGCTTTCCAGCTTCTAATGCTTCCTTATATTGTAACTTCTAACCGCACCCTTAATCGGCTAATTGCCTGCTGCATTGTGCTTAAAGTGATAAGCACTTAAACCATGATATCTAAGTTTTATATATTTATTCACCCAAACCATATTTGGTATCAATGTTATACCTAACACCCCTGGTATAAGGTTTCCAGGGGGGTTGGACTCAAAGATCTCCAAGCCTTCCAGTCTGATGATTTTATGATTCTAAAAATCCTAACTGGATGAGTGTGCCCTTTCTATAGTGTAATTGAGGTGCAATCTATTCTCTTCAAAAAAACAAAACAAGACAGCAGCTGAAATAGCTGTTCCAATAGCTGATCAAGGGAGAGATCTTGATTTTCATAATGTTTGGTTGATGATTGATTGATTGCGCACCTTGATATTGACTGCCAGCAACCACATAGATAGGCTTTCTCCAGGAAGGATCTGTTTCCAACCTGACCTTGAAATCTCTCATTGATGTACCCATCGTCAGGCTAATGAAGTCCATGTACCTTGCTGCTGGTTGTCCTTTACCTTTTCTTTCTACCAACAACGTCAAGCATATTCTTTTAAACAAATGTTATCTGCCACCGTAGCAGTCTTCTAATATCTAAAGGGCTGCCACAAAGAAGAAGGGGGTCAACCTATTCTCCAAGCACCTGGAATAAGAAGCAGGCCAGGAAGCAAGAGATGGAAACTAATCGAGGAGAGAAGCAGCTTAGAACTAAGGAGAAATTTCCTGACAGATAGAACAATTAATCAGTAGAACAACTTGCCTTCAGAAGTTGTGAATGCTCCAACACTGGAGATTTTCAAGAAGAGATCGGACAACTATCTGTTTGAAATGGGGTAGAACAGGGGTGTCAAACTCAAGGCCTGGGAGATGGATCCGGCCTACGGGGTGCTTAGATCTGTGTTGTGGTTTGCTAGCAGCAGGTGCGGACAGCTGAGGTCTCGGAGAGCGAGGACTCAGATGAGGGGCCTGCGTGTGATGCAGGGATGGGGCCAGGACCATCAGGGAGTGGAATGCTGCCTTCAGAGATTGTGGATACTGGCAGCAGTGATGAAGAGACCTCCCGAGGAGCCTGTGCCCAGTGCGTGTGCGTGCAGGGCTGCTCAAAGGAAAGAGCAGCTGCAGCAGCACGGGCAACTCGGGAGTAAGGCTGCAAGGTGATGGCCCCTCCCTTAAGAGATAAAAGCCAGCCTGAGAGACTGGGATTTTTTGCAGGAAGCAAAGAAGTTATTGTACTTCAAACCTTGTGGAAGTTCGGACTATCTGCGTTTGTGTTTGAAGACTTTTTGTTTGGAATATTTCTTGGCAACTTAATGTAGTGCTTTTGGCAGCCTTGCACAGCCTTGGTAAGGCTCGTTCTTATCAGAGTTTTAATAGCTTTTCACCGTAAATTAATGGAATTCTCAAAGAAGCATTAAAAGGTTTTGCTTTTATCTCTGTTTGGTGTTTGTTTACTTGGAACAAAGTTTGGATCAGAACAATCTGGCCCGCGCGGCTTCCCTGGAAATAGTGAAGGATTGGCCTGCGATGCCTCTGCCAGTAAAAACTGAGCACACGAGGGCTACGCGTGGCCCTCCCGAGCTCTGTTTTCATTGGGGCAGAAGGTTGCAGGAGGCCATCCCAGCTGAAAATGGAGCTCGTGAGGGCTGCGTGTGCCACCCCCTTGAGCTCTGTTTTCACTGGCAGAGGATTGCAGGAGGCTATTGCAGCCGAAAACAGAGCTCGGGAGCCCATTTTCACTAGCAGAGCACTCACAGGTGTGTCCCAACACAGGTGACATCATGCTCGCCTCACCAACCCTGGCCACGTCAAATCCCCCCCCATCCTCCCGAGGTCAAACACAACCCTGATGTGGCCCTCAATGAAATCGAGTTTGACACCCCTCGTATAGTCTCATACTTGAGAGGTGGGTTGGACCAGAAGACCTCCAAGATCGCTTCCAACTGTTATTCTTTTCTGATAAATGTCATGTTCAGGGGATGTATATGAATCTTCCTTGTCTTTCTCTCTCTCTCTCTCTCTCTTTTTTTTTTAACTTAGCTTGCCCTCCAGAACTCACCACCCTATTCCGAGATCTTTGTCTTCACTGATGCATCTGCTAAAGATGCTCACCTGAAGAACAGCGTGGAATCCCTAATTCAGGAAAAGAAGTGCAAGGTCAGCTGTGCCTCTTCCTTTTATCAAACAGTTTCCTTTTGGAGATATTTCTTTCCAGTTGTATAGTATGCCAGTGCAAAATATGCCAGCCTCTTCCTCCCAGCATCCCCCTACACCCGGGCACGGGGGGGGGGGGGGGTGTGTCAGATGCTGTGGCTAAGAAACCACCGGCTGGGGAATTCTGGGAGTTGAAGTCCACACAGCTTCAAGTTGCCTGTCAACTCATAAAACATTCCTACGCCTGTTTTACAGTTGCCTGAACAGAAAGGGGGAGGGGAAGAAATTGCAGCAGTTTGGAACCGAAAGTGCATTCCATTCTTATCTTGCAAAGATTATAACTAAGCGACTGGAATTTCTGACGTGCAAATCTCTAATTGGAGAACGTGATTGATGACTCTTGGCTATGAACGTGTTTCATTGGAGAATATAAATTATGATACACCCAGAGGGGTGGGGGGAAACCAGGGTCAAGGGTGACAGTGAATTATGTATCTCAGAATCGGATGCATGCAGGTTATGCTGATATGTTTGCTCCTAATAAATTCTTTGAAGTTTTTGAAGTTTGGCTCGAGGCTCATGATTTAATTAGGGCAACTGCTGGAATCCTGACATTGCCGATATTGAGAAACACGGTATTAGCACATCATAGTGAGATTTGTGGCAAATGCTGCTGGATGGATTTAAGATTGGGAAGAACAGGATTCAAATTCATCCTCAGGCCTTCTGAGGCCAATGAGAACCTTTCAGCCCCATCTAACTAACAAGAGGGCAATTCTGAGAAACCAATTGGAGGAGAAGATGTATGTCACCTCAAACTCCTAACAGAAAGGTTGCAGGTGTCAAGGGTCCAAGTAATCCACCCATAACAAACAAAACTCCGAGGCAGGTAGGTTTCTCAAAGCATAGTTTGATTCAACGTACAATATCACATTGGCACAGGCTGGTGAAAACTGAAAATCTTATGACAAAAGGAAAACAAAAACCAATAAATACTATTCCAAAACGGTATATCGTGTCCCCAGCTGCCATTTCCAAACACGTTAGCATTTTCATACAAAATCGAGCCACGTTTCTAAACGCTTTGGATGCAGCATATTTAGAATATTCTGCATTCTGGACCCTAAGCCTGGGGTTCTTTCTTTCTCAATATCAGGTGACCTTCCTAATCACAGAAGACCCATCCAAGACTCGAACGAAGCGGGAAACGCTTGCCCCGAACCGATTTGACTTGTACGTTCAGTTAGCTGAGAGTTCTGGAGGCCAGATTATATTCACAGACAACAATAATATCCGGCAGATGGCTGAGATTATTGGCGAATCCAGATTATCTTCGGTAATGGCAAGGTGCATGTGTGTATATGTATACATAGATCATACAGGTCAGGAAGGTAACAACCATAATTGGGACCACAATTTCTATTACTTATCAAGGTCATTGTTAATGAATGAATGAATGAATTCTTTATTGGCCAAGTATGATTGGATACACAAGGAATTTGTCTTGGTGCATATGCTCTCAGTGTACATAAAAAGAAAAGATACATTTGTTAAGAATCATAAGGTGCAACACTTAATGATAGTCATAGGGTACAAATAAACAATCAAATCATACTAGGAAACTGTCAATATAAATCGTAAGGATACAAGCGACAAAGTTAAAGTCATACAGTCACAAGTGGGAGGGGCTGGGTGGTAAGGAGTGATGAGAAGATCAATAGTAATAGTAGTGCAGACTTTGTAAATAGTTGGACAGTGTTGAGGGAATTATTTGTTTAGCAGAGTGATGGCATTCAGGAAAAATCTGTCCTTGTGTCTAGTTGTTCTGGTGTGCAGTGCTCTCTAGCATGATCTATACAAGTGATCTTACAACCTTTTTTTGCTGTGGTTGCTAAACAAATCACTTCAGTTGTTAAGCCAATCTGGCTTCCCCATTGGCTTTTCTTGTCAGAAGGTCGCAAAAAATGATCACATGATTCTGGGACATTGTCACCATCATGATTACATGCCAGTTGCCAAGCATCACATGATCATGGGAATGCTGCAACGATCATAAGTGTGAAAAGTAGTCGTAAGTCACAAGCAACCAGTTTTCAACTTGAAAATATTTCTCTGGTCTTTTTGAGTTGCCAGCAGAAAGAGAGTGGGGGAAGTAGTGCATTCCTTAGATAATTTCTAGGCAACCGAAGTTTCTGGTGCGCAAGATTATTACTGGAGAGCATGATTGATGACTCTTGGCTATGGATGTGTCCCATTGGAGAATAAACATCCAGAGGGTGGGGGAAGACCAGGGTCAACGGTGAAATCAGTGATGTGTCTCAGAGTCAGCTGCACCCAGGTAGCACCGCCATGTTCTAATAAATCTTCCTAATAAATCTAATAAATAAATAATAAATAAATCTTCTTTAAACATCTAAGAGATGTGGCTAGAAACTCATTATATAAATGGGGGTGGAGGCTGGAGCCCTGACACCGGTTTTCATATATGGTTTTTGTCTCCAGGCCTTTAATCCTCTTAGTTGCTCTTATTTGCACCTTTTCCAAAGCCTTTTTTGGTAATGTGGTGACCAAAACTGGATGCAGGATTCCCGGTGTGGACTGTTGTAAGCTGAGGGCTCCCTGTATTATATTTTTCTAGGTGACTCTATTTCGCTACCACAAAGGAAACATCTTGAGACCTAAAGGGACTCAGCGTAGGACAAAGAAGCAAGCTCCCCAGTTGGCAAACCACCAGTTTTGGATTGACAGTTTGGTGGACCGCGTGGTGGTGACCATCCAAGGCTCCGTGGAGTTCTTTGAAATAAGGGATCCAACAGGTAGCCATCTATATTCCCTCTTATAGTGATTCGTTTTCATGTTTTGGATCTTGTACTTTTTTTAAAAAAAATGCTTTTATACTAATTGCAAATTGTTTCTTTTTCTTAATTTGGGGGTGGGTGGGATGACTGTATGGTTAAAACTTTGGATTAACAATGGGGAGATCAGAATAGAGCTTACTCTCAGCCGTGGAAGTTCTATGGGATACTTTGAGAAGTTGGGTTTTTTTTCCCTCTCAGGGTGGTTGGGGGAAAAATAAGAGCAGAAAGCACTATATATTTCATCTTAAGTCATGTAACAAAAATGTGAGTTATTGGTAAAGGTAAAAGTTTCCCTCGCACATACGTGCTAATTGTTTCCGGCTCTAGGAGGCAGTGTTCATCTCCGTTTCAAGGCTGAAGAGTCACGCTGTCTGAAGACGTCTCTGTGGTCATGTTGCCGGCATGACTGAATGCCCGAAGGCACACAGAACATTGTTACCTTCCCACCAAAGGGGTCCCTATTTTTCTACTTGCATTTTTACATGCTTTCGAACTGCTAAGTTGGCAGAAGCTGGGACAAGTAACAGGAGCTCACTCCGTTACACGGCACTAGGGATTCGAACCGCTGAACTGCCGATCTTTCTGATCGACAAGCTCAGCGTCTTACCACTGAGCCACTGTGTCCCTTGAGTATATAGGTAGTCATCTACTAATGACCTGTTGCTTAGCAACCATTTGAAGTTATGGTAGACCCTGAAAAAAACTACTTACAATAGGATTCAAAGTTTCAGTGGCCACACCCCCATTACCACATCACATGTTAGGTGCTTGATAATTGGCTCATATTTATGCTCGTTTGCACCATACTCAGTCACATGACCACATTTTGGCATTTACTTCCACTTTGTGGCAGAACCAGACCTTGGATTTTCTTAAGGATCACAGCGAAAAATGGATTTGCTTAATGATCGCAGCGTTCATTTTTTGACTGGAGCAAAAAATGCTTTACGATTGCCGAAAGGTCAAAAAATTTAGTCGGGCAAGTGGGTGATCCGTTTTATGACCGTTGTGACTTACAACCGTAATCAGCAGGCTCCGTTACTGTCATAAATCGAGGACTACCTATATAGTATCTAACAAATGAATACTTATTTGTATTCATCACGATCAAAAAAAATACTCTTGGTAACTTACGTAGAATAAATCACACAGTTTTAATATTCACAGTACAGACCACAAAACTGACAGACTTAAAAAATTATAATACTGAACAACGTAAGAAAAAAACATAAAGGATAATTTAAGAGTTGGAGATAAAAATGAGGCCATGTCAAATCAGGGACAGGAAGTTTTTAACAAGAGACTGGACAGCCACTTGTCTGGAACAGTATAGAGTCTCCTGCTCAAGCAGGATAGAAGGTCCCTTCCAACTCTATTGTTCTATGTTCTGACTTGATTTTTTAACCGTTTTTGAAAAATTGACAAAATGGTGGATCGACCTAATTTTCAAAGAGAGACTATTCCACAATGTTATTATGGAGAAGCATAGGACATAGAACAACGAAGTTGGAAGGGACCTTATTATAGTCCAACCCTCTCCTCAAATAGAAGACACTATACCATTTCAGGCAAATGGCCGTTCAGTCTCTTTTTAAAAGCCTCTAGTGATGGAGCACTGTTCTGACCCAAGCCTCGTTCAAAGCAAATAAACACCAAACAGAGATAAAAGCAAAACCTTTTCAATGCTTCTCTGTGAATTCTGTTCATTCACAGTAAAACGCTATTAAAAACGAATTGTCCCAGATAAGAACAAGCCTTGCCAAGGTTGTACAAGGCTGCCAGGTACACTAGATTAAATTGCAAAGAAATAATCAAAACCAAAAGTCTCCAAACACAAAACCAGGATAGTCCGAACTTCCACAAGGCTTGAAGTGCAAGAACGTCTTTGCTTCCTGCAAAGAATCCCGGTCTCTCAGGCTGGCTTTTATCCCTTAAGGGAGGGGCCATCACCTTGTAGCCTTACTCCTGAGTCACCCATGCTGCTGCAGCTGCTCTTTCCTTTGAGCAGCCCTGCGTGCACACGCACTGGGCACAGGCTCCTCAGGGACCTCTTCATCACTGCTGCCAGCCTCCACAAGCTCCGAAGGCAGCATTCCACTCCCTGATAGTCCTGGCCCCATCCCTGCATCACACGCAGGCCCCTCATCTGAGTCCTCGCTCTCCGAGACCTCAGCCACCCACACCTGCTGCCGGCGAACCACAACAAGCACCCACAACTTGCAGAAGCAAACCATTCCACTGGTTTACTCCTCTTCAGGAAATTTCCCCTTAGTTCTAAGTTGGATCTTTCTTTAATGATGTCAGAAATGAGGAATGTGTAGTAATTTCTTTCTAATTGGTCTAATTGATTGGGCCAGTTCTGGCTGATTTAGATGGTCTGGCAGGTTTTAGTAGTGAAAACCAGTACAGTACTTGAAATTGAACTTGGAAACCAACTGGTAACCAACACAGGCCTCCAGAACTGGGTTTACATAATCCTGGGAATCCAGACTACATTCCACTACAACTGTGGAACACTGCAACCATCCATAAAGTGAAATGTGAGGTGGAAGTTGCCCCCTCAGAACATTGAAATTACAGGTGGCATTTGTCAAAAATGAATACCATACATGTAAGTACCCACGAAAACTTAAGAAAACAAACAAATATATATATATATATAAATAATAATATAAATATAAATATAAATATAAATAATATAAATATAAATATAAATTAAATATAAATATGGATCTTTGGTTATTCGGGTTTTCTCCTGTGTAAAATTGGAAGTATCTTGGCGATGTTTCGACGAAGTCTCATTCGTCATCTTCAGGCTTGTGTCTTCGGCTTTGTGCTTCTTGGAGTAATGTGAGCTTGCAGCTGCTTCTTCCTTTTAACTGCTAGTGGGGGTGTGAC